TAGACACAGTCGCGGCGACTGGATAAAGAACAAGCCCTTAGTTTTCGGCAGAACAAATCATGAAATTACGGTGAGATGTTAAGTAAATGAGCTCAACATTATTTACAAAATTAGTGCAAAGATAATGAAATACAATAAATCGAATTTTATTATAAGCAATTTAAATTAAGTAACCACAAATTAGAGACACGTGATGGCATTTTGTTGGAGAGACCGTGTCACTTTCAATTTACGGTATTGGCTGTCCTTAGATCCCTGTCTGTCAAAAGTGAAGTAGTTGTATTTGGCATAAATCATTTTTCCTTACCACTCGTAAATAAACATTACCACAATTAGATGCTGCTGACACAGCAATAGTATTGAGAATTGTTGAGTGTCCATATTAAATACCTTTTTTTAATATTCTAAAATCAGATAGTAATTTACTAATTCATATTATTTAAGATGTTAGATTTTTATATTTTTAACAATCATTAACATATTTTGGACTTTGCAAAATAATGCTAATTTTATTAGATAATCAATTTGTTATCGGGTATAATAAGATTGACTAAATTTTCTAGTATAAATAAAAATAAAATACGTATGTGGTAACCAATAAGATAACTTCTATACACCACACCTTACTATGGATATAGCATATTAGCATGATATAAGTCCATATAGCATAAAAATATGAGCATAGACCATAGTCCATTATAACCATTAAGGCTAATTTTCTACTGTCACCAATATCTTGGAAGTTATTTACGAGTCCGCGTCACTTATGCCACTATGTGGGAAAAATTAATCTGGCGTGTCACCTTATAATCTGAATGCCACTATAAATATGATATTTCCAAATTACCCTTAATTTCATTAAGGGTAAAATTGTACGGAATTGTACAACTTGGTACAACTAAGAAATAATAATACAACTGGTATAAATAAGAGATTATAGGATAACTGGTCCAAATGGTACAACTGAATGATAATAGTACAATTAGTACAAATGATATCTTATTATATAAAGTATGGTTTTCAAAATTAGTAATCCGCATAATCGTGACACGTGTAAAGTCTATTGATTAGATGTTGACATGTGTCAAAAATTATTTAACTTTTTTCATTCACCAAATAGGAAAACTAAAAAAAGAATATTTACATATACTAAATGTATATCTAATTTTGAAAAAATTTTAACTTTATTTTTCTTGCAATTTTTGTTTTAAAAAAAAATACTAAATTAAATATATAAAAAATGTGTGGGTTACTATTTAGGATTTAAATATTATCAATACGAAAGAGTGTGTGGAATTAAAATTTAGTTTATTACGATGAAATAAATAGTTAAAATAAAAAAAAATAGAATGTGTAAGATTTAATTTTTGTTTAAAATAAAAATATTAGGGAAAATGAATGGATTAATATTTATCATTCAAAATTCAAATATTATTGATAACAATTTATATTTATATATTACACCGGCCTATTTAGGCGGGCCTTAACTAGTAACTATATATAAATATGAACAATTGGTACAAATGGTACTACTGAAGCATAATAGTACAACTAAAACAAATGGTACAACTGACATATGAATAGAGACAACTAGTACAACTATAATTGAAAGAAATAGTATAACTGAGATATAAATAGGTACAACTAGTACAAATGGTAGTAGTGAAACAATTTGTAATTCTAACCCTATCGTCGCCACACTATTTCGTTTCTTCTTGCTTTGTTCACTACCGCCGTCATTATCGCCGATTCTCCGCTGTCACCTTTCATTGTCGTCGTCACTGATTCTCTAACGAAATCCTAGATCTGTCACCCTTCTTTATCGTCGTCGCCAATCTCTACTGTTCACTATCGCAGATTCTCCGACGAAACCCTAGATCTGTATCGAGATTATCGTTGGATCTCTGAAAGAGAGAAGAGATCTAGGGTTTCGTTGAGAAGATAGAAAAGAAAATCAAAATGAGAAAAGAGAAATCAATGGAGAAAGAGATTTAGGGTTTCGTTGGATCAAAGGGAGAGCAGAAAAATCCATAGAGAAGAACAAGAGAGAGAAGAGATGAAGAAAAAGAAGAGAGATCCATGGAAAAAATTGAAAGAAAAAAGAGGAAGAAGAAACGTGAAATAAGAAAAGAGAGGCGGTTGTGTTTCTGTTGTTAAATTAATGGAGGAATGGCAATGATACGTAATATTAGGTTTAGGGTAAGGGTTTTTAGACTTTTTCTATTAATTTTGATTTTAAAAATATATAAAATAAAATAAAAAACAGGAGAGGACATAAACGATTAGTTATTTGAAGAAAGTGGCATAAGCGATAAAAATTTGTTATTTACTTAGTAAAACCAAACAAACAAATCATAGTTATTTACATACGTAAGTCTCATAATTAACTCCAACATTATTACAAAATATCGTATACGAATTCCAGTTACGAATTATTAAATTAAAGCAACTGAACTATACATTACTTTATCAATAATTTTACTAGTATTATATATAGAGTGCAGTTTTTATTTGCAAAAATACAGAAGAAAAACAAACTCTAGAATTTAATCGATCGTAAGACAAAAGATACAGGTGTCTTTTTTTGTTCCCCAAATCATTTGCTTTTTAGTTATTTTGGCGTATTCTCCTCTCATCTTCTCTATCTGCCACAGAAACGATAAAAAAAAAAAAAATATATATTCTCGAGGGAAAAACAAATATTTGCATATTAAATCAGATTCAGCATTGGGCACATGATTCACTTTTATTCATGCTTTGTTTCTGGTAATTGCTTTTACAGAAATGCTGTCTGCAATTCTAGGTATTTTACCTTAATAGGAAAAACACAATCTAAAGGGTTTGCAAACTAAAAACCAAAAAAAAAAGGGTGTCACAAACTATGTTGATGCACCATAAATTCAATATTATAAATGGTTATGTTATTTCTATTTTTAGTGAACCTTCTAGATGTAATGTTTAATGATAAATTTTGGAGATATTTTTCTTAGAATTTATTTCTAATTCATAATGTATGGTTTAGGTGTAACTTCAAGTTCTTAGGAAAAAAAAATAAAATCGGACAATAGAAAAGTTAACATATTCGTTCACTATTATACTGAATATCGTTACTACACAAAATTATGAGGATGGAGATAGAATAAACATAAAAAACAATTTCTTTTTTCACTACAAAAAAAGTGGACATTGATAGCACAACATAATGCTATTAAAAATGATACTCGGATTTTTATAACGATATTATAGCATTTTAGAAACGCTAAACCCTATAATAGCAGAGCGGAAACTAAAATTACTTATACCGCCAATATTTAGCGAAAATTTTGCCCAAACCGCCAACAACTTGGACAAAAAAAAAAAAAAAAAAACTCAAATTAACAATCAAACCCTAATTTCTATCTTCTCCATCCCCTTTCTCTCCTTTACCTCTTCGCTCTCTTCCTCGATTCTTCCTTTATTCTCCCATCTCCTTAGCTCTCCTTTACCTCTTCACTCTCTTCCTTTTTTTTTTTTTTTTTTTGGGCAAAGCTCTTCACTCTCTTCCTATGAGGCTATGATTATACGAATCTGGATCTACTGGATTTTATCAATTTCTATCACTCTTTGTAACTATCGCTCTCATCCCTAAATTCTTCTTCTTCTTAAATTCTATAAATTATCCATCCTCCATTCTCAAATTTCGTAGCTTTTGCTTCTTCTGCGATTTTGGGTTCAGTCACTTTTCGGGTTGGTGATGTTTTTGGTGTAAAGCTTTGGTTTTTATTTTTGTTGCAATTGTGGGTTTAGCTTAAAACGAGGTCTTTGTACATGGGTTCTTGTGCTCAAATTTCGTGGCTCTTGCTTCTTCTGTGATTTGGGTTTTAGTCACTTTCTCGATTTGTGAAGTTTTTGGTTTAAAAGTTTTGATTTTTATTTGCTGCAAAGGTTGAAGATGTCAACGCCGAAATCGGGTGGAGATCCACTGCAACATCCGACGAAAGAACAGCTTACAGATATCTCTTACTGCATTACAAGCCCTCATCCATGGCGTTAGGTTCTCTTCTTTGCCTTTTCCCCTAAACGTTTGACTTTTAGCTTTTGTTCTCGGCATATCCCTAGATTTGAAGCTATGTGACTGATTAGCTTCTTCCATTTTGCTTTTTCTTTTAAATGAGGATTAGATCCTTACTTATCTCTTTAAGAATTATTCGTTTTACATTGAGAATCTTCCAAAGTGTTTTGAAGAAGAATAAACTTAATCAGCCCTTGCATTTAACTAAATCATATCTTGTTTATTATGTATCATTCTCTGAATTCACTTCTTCCTATTAGGGAACTGGAAATAACTTCTCATTAGATTCTGACTCTTTTGGGCATATGTTCAATCTAACTGTTGTTTGTAGTGATATGTTTCTAATTTGACAATTCTTGTTTGAATGTTGTATTTTTAAGCTTCTTATTTAGTAAATGCGAGATTGAGAGTTATCTTTCAGCTGAGGCTATTCTGCTTGGAGCAACCTATCACTCAAATGCGGTGGATATGTGGTCTGTTGGCTGCATTTTTGGTACTACTTCTTCTCTTTTAGTTTCACTTCAGTGTCAATATAGTAAGAACTAACAACTTTGTATATTTTTTATTTGTAGCTGAACTAGTGACCAAGTAAGCAATATAGTAAGAACTAATTCTACACAAATATGACGTTCACTGACTCACTTGTTCTACTTCAATTCATAAATACACAAATATGACGTTCACTGACTCACTTGTTCTACTTCTATCTTTTTCTGTGGAAATTAATGTTGTTAGACCACCAAACAAAGTCTTTCCTGCATAATTAACACTATTAGAAGAATCTGAACTTGATTTCTATTTGAATAAAAAGGTATCTTATGATTGCTTTGTGGGTGTTACCTGTAGGAAGTTCTTGACTGTCAAATTGTCAATCCCTTTTACCTTGCTGTATTATGAGATAGTTATTTGAAATATCTTTTATCTCTGGAACATTAAGTTGATGAAAGATATGGGTGTTTTTCTGGTAAACTTGAAGGTCCTCTTGTCAAATTGTGCATCTTTATCTCATGATGGATCTCTGGTTGTTGGTGGGTTCTTCGATTCATCAATAGAGGTATGTAATTCTGGTTTCTGAGTTTAGATTGATTTTAGCTTTGTTGCTCTACTAGTTCCTCTTCTTATTGGCATATAAGTTCTCATTGAAATACATTGTGGAAGGATGCCAAAGTATCTTTTAGAGTCTATGGATATTCCCTTTTATCAATCAAATTTGTGTTCAATATCTCTGACTTGTAACGTCTCTTTGTTGGGAAAATGCAGGAGAATGAATAAGGACTACGATTGCAACCTTTAAAGACGTAGATGTGTACGACGTAGAGTTTTGTGTTGAGAAGACATGTCTTGAGTAAGGATGAATCTACTAAAGTTGGACACTTTGAGGACTTCAAGAAAGAGAAGGAGAAGATTATGTTCAAGAAGAAAGTAGGAGACATGATTGAAGTTTGTCTTTCTGGTGTTAGATTAATTTTGTTTAAAACTTGGTATGATGTTATGAAAAGGATGGATAATGTAATATTACTATTTTGTTGTTGATGATTGATGATTTATGAAACATAAAAAGTATATTATAAATCTAATTAAATTTATTTTGCAAAATAGGATTCAAATATAAAAATTATTTATAAAACCAATTAAATTTATATAGCAAATATAAAATGCTACATTACAATATAAAATAGCACTAATATGCTATAATATAGTATATTAGATCATTTTACTATCGCTATAATTGATCGACGTATAATAGCATGTCAGAAAACGCTATCGTAGGTGGAAAACCTACCATAGCTACCGATGTCATAGCATTTGTGAATTCGCTATGTAATATGTATTATAGCAGATTTTTCGTGCTAACGATGAACATATTTCTTGTAGTGTTTGTAACTTTAGTTTGAATTTTTGAACTGTTTAAAATAAATATAGCATGATGACAAAGAAAAAAAGATATATACGACCAAAAAAAAAGAAAAAAAGATATAAGATTTATTTTACTGAAATTAAAATAATGAATACGTATATGTGGACAAGGAGGAAGACAACATGTATATATGTAACTTTTATAAGCATGGTTATATATATTAAATTATTAACAAAAGTAATAAATTATTAAGTAGCTCATTCTGATGTGCATGATGAGTTATTCCACATTATTTTCTCTGGCTCTCTTCTACTCGCACTCCTTTGCGAAGTCAGCCTCACATGTTCTTTGGTTATTAATTCAACTTTTTCTCAACTTTATTTTTGTACTAAAACAAACTAATATGAATGATTCCCAAAATAGGTAATATGACGTGTTTACCATTTGCCACGCTAAAAAAGCATTTTAGTTTTGTTCTGTAGTTGTCTTAAGCGATGGTAAAAGAATATTTTGGAAATTATATAAACTAATTCGGAGCATACTTCACCTAATTTGGAGAGTTCATCAAGAAATTTTATATTCGAATACCAAATTAGAATGCATAGCATCCATAAATTCACATGGCAACCTTAGACAAATTGACTTTAAAACAAAGCAATAATCTTTAGTATTCTTTAGACACTAACTTATGATTAATATTAAATCAAATCTTCCGAAGTCACAAAAATAAAGATGCATCTGGTCTGAGTAGTGTCTAAGCTTTGTTGAGATTATATACGAATCTCTATAAACGTGATCTTTTTTTTTTACAGATGTAAAATTTATTTCAAAAAAATTAAATATATTAATTTGGGTACTTGAATATTTGAATATGAAAACTAGTAAAACAAGTTATTTTTACTGTACAAAATAAGCATTCTGAAAGGTGTTATTGTTTTAACGTTTTGAACCTAAGATATAAAAAAAAAAAAAAAACTTTTTGAACCAGTGTTAAACCTAAAACTCTATACGGTATACATTTTCTACCAAAAACAAAAAACATTGATTTCATGAAATCGACAAGTCATCGTTTTTCCTAGATTAATGGACGATGACATATTATGGATAGTCTAATATATTGAAAGAGACGTTTGAACCTGATGTTCGAAACTTTTTCTTACAAACTAAACCGATTAGTCGATAGCTTTGGAAAATGAAGCATTTATTTATCCCCTATCTTGATTTTGCAACACTAGAACTCATAAGAGTTTTGATATAATATCAACTTTAAAATAGTCGAATGATTAGAATCGATAAAAGTTTTCAAAAATGGAAAGGCACATGATATATGTTTGAGATTCTATACCTTTAGTTATTCAACTTGCACATAAAGCCTTTGTTCAGCTAGCTAGCTAGCTTCAAATCGTTCAATAAGAACAAAAAAAGTTAGATATACGAAAACTCTTCTTGCAAGAATACTAGAGTAAAAAGAAAAGAAAAAAAAGATTACTAGGATAAGAAATCTATTTCAAAGTACGTGCGTAAATGAGTAGAAATAAAACAATACCGACAAAAATCATCAATTGAATAGAGAGGAATATGCCTCCTCTCCATCAACAAATTTTTTATTTTTCCGCTTTAGTAATAGTATAAATCTAAAAATTGTTTTAATATTTAACACAAGCACATTTCCTATGTATATGAAATTTATTTCAAATTAATACAGTGATATGTACTAGGTCGTACGTTGTTATTCTCTATCAACTCTTTTTTTGGGAGGCGAATTGCTCTATCCGTAGATTTTGAGTTTTGATCTTAAACAATTGTCTATATTGAAACAGACTTATCTTACTCAGAAACACAAGCCATTAACTTTAAAATGAAACATGTAACGGTAAAATAGTGGCATTTCGAAGAAAAACATGAAATATAATAGAACATGTAGCAGTATATAAATAAATTTATTTATGAATAAAATAAAACAATTATTGGGATATAGCACTAAGAAAATTCGAACGTGTATTTTCTTTATTAATTAATAGCAAATTCATAAACAATTGTTGACATTTTTATATGTTTAATCTATTTTCTATTAACGTATGGAACTAAAATGTTAAATATTTTGACATTGAGACTGCTATTTTGATGAAAACAAATAACGAAAATGGCAAATTGAATTAGTAAACCAAATAAAGTCATATGTTGTCATCATTTTATATGATGTTTTTCATGTCCTATCTATAAATGACAGAAAATGGCTAATATTATTTAACAAATAAATTCTACTTAAATAATGGTTTTTGAGATGATGTACCTAGGAATGTCGTATACTAGCGCCAACTTGCTAATTTATATTGAGTATTAATTTTTAAATGATAAGACAATGACAAATAATGTTTTTATTTTTGAAAAGTTCTAAAATATTGGTAGCCTTTTTCATTAGAAGTCTAGTTATATGCATTCTTAAAAAATGTCTTCACGGTGACCAGTACTGATTAAAGTCCATACTAACTACTAAGACATATAATTATTTATCATTTTGAATTTAGATACATAGTTGTAAGTTAATGATTTTTTTATATTGGCCAAACCGATTACCGATACTAGCTATATATATCGGATGTATACACAAAAGTATTATGATAGTTACATATTACATATATATCCCAGAACAAGATTGAATATTTGCTTAATTAACAGATATTTTTATGAATTTAATCCATCTTTGTTAATAACACAGTGGAGCAGCTAAGTGCCAATACTCATAGTTCCCAAAACAATATTCAATCTATAACAATTGTTTTTTTTTTTAAATCCATCCAGGTTTTAGGTGCTATTGTAAGCCAAAATAACTATGAAAATAAATCTCTACAAAATAAAAAATGTTAAATATAAAATTTTGAATCTCTACGATATATACTCATTATTGTATTTTCACTTTAAAAAAATCACAAAATATAATTTTGGATCATTTACATCACCAAATCATACTGCGCCAACATTGTTGCAATTACCTTTTTTTCCATCCTTTCAAAAGCAACTCTTAATTAAAATTTCTGAATAGCGAATACAAATACATTGTATAGCTACGTCTTGTTTGAATATGTTGCAGTCTACAAAGTAAGAATAAAAATAAATTAGTGTATTTCTGAATAGAATATGGTCTCACAAATTGAAACTTGGAAACCATAATTATTTATTAAAAAGTTTTTCTAATTGTTTATATAAGTTAAAAAATAAGTTACATAACTAAATGTTAAAAATAAAACAACTACACTTTATTTTTTCATATTGATGTCCAGCTCAGCCATGAAAGGCAAAGCTCCTCTAAGACCATCTTTATCAATGGGTTCTTAAGAAAATCTTAAGATGATCTTAGTAAATTTTTAGTATTATTACTAAGAACCAAAGTTAAGATGAGTTGAGGGAGTTGCTTACCTAAGAGCCAAAACGAGGTAAATCTTAACTTTGGTTCTTAGTAATAATACTAAAAAATTACTAAGATTATTTTAAGATTTTCTTAAAAACCAATTGATAAAGATGGTCTAATCGGTCTGGCTAGAGAGACCACACGACTAATGTTGAAATTTAACACTTAAAATCTAAAAGTTTATTTGCCTCCTTAAAATATGTTAGAGTTCAAATGATTTATTAAATTAGATCAAATTAATTTACATAAAACTGGAATAGGTTAAAATTTGTGTAATTTTTTCTTACGTAGGGTCTCTTAATTTATTTTGATTTTGTAGGATACTTTTTTTCGTCTTATTTTTTGGTCAACTACTTGTTTTTCCTCTTAAGTATTACCCTTTTAATTTTTTTGTCGTTAACATCTTGTTTCCATAAATCAAAATAATAATGGTTTTCGTAAAAGGTCCCAATACCATCTCAAAGGACAAAATGCCCATCATCTTAAATTAGTATACGAAACTTCTAAATCGACACTTATCTTAGCTGTTTGATTCATTCTTAAACATAATGAACTATCTTATATTACTAAAGAAACTTATATCTTGATTAGTACTTAAGTTTAGTCAAAATCTAAATCGACGATATAAAATATTGAGTTACTAAAGATGAAGCAAGAGAGTATATATGTTGGAAAAGGTGTTCTTGCAAGGAATTGTAATAGTGACTAACATGCACGTAAAAAATTGATGGGTGAATCCGATTAATGTAAAAGGTTAAGAGAGTGGAATTAGCAAGTTATTAATCAGAATATAATATTGTAAAATAAAGAGGCAGACATAAACTGATGTTCTAGAGAGGAAAAGAAGATTAACCCATGACTTCCGCATTAGTTGGATTCAATTAAAGATTTAATTAGAGGCCAAAACTTGAAGCTAATCATTGTATTTGGATGATAATATTAATAATTATGGGCTCACTAATTATAAGCATTTGTGGTCATTATCTGCGCTAAACTATACGTGGTTTACAAATTAAATTTTATCCTCCAATTATATATATGTTATCATGAATATCGTTTCAATAATGTTTTCTTGGTATCACATCGTTCCAATAATTAGCTCCATACAACTGTAATTAAGAAGTTTAATAGTAATTACTATTCAATATGTGTCCAGACCCCAGACATATATATATTTTGTAATTTGGATTTCACATCGGATCACTAAACAATACTTCATTTGTCCCAAAATATAAGATTTTTAGATTAAAACACAAAGATTAAGAAATTATTTTTTAAAACTAAAATTAATTTAATAATTAATTAAAAACACAATTCAACCAAAAAAAAAAAAAAGCTTACAGAATTTCAAGAGTCAAAAATATAAAACAACAATTTATCTAGAAATTTGTAAAACATCTAATAAAGTGGAACGAAAAAAAACCTTCTTAGACATCTTGTATATACATTACACATTTGTGTATAACATGAAAATGTCATCTATATATCATTATAGATAGTGACAATTTATTCTTTTTTTTTTGAGATCAAACCTAGCAAAAGAAAGTCACATACCGTATGGTCCAAAGTCCTATTCCTAGGTTTCGCCTTATAAACACCAAGGAAAACTAAATAGACGAGGATAATAAATTAAACACAGAACAGGAATTATTTGTTTAATGAAAAGAAGGCTTAAAGGATGCTTAAAGATTAAGGTTCTTATGATACGTCCTAGTAAGGAAAACTAAATTTTAAAGTAAAATAATTAAAAAATTGGAATAATTTTAATTCTTGTTATCACTTTGAATATACTACATAGTGAATGTCCATAATTTTTTTCATTCACAAGATACTAACCAGTAAACCACATCCCTTTTTTCCAATGTATATAAATATTAACATTGTAATGTAATTTACCGAAAAATAAAAATAAAAATAATATTGTAAATTTGTAATCTTAGTACAACCATCAAATTAAATATATTTGCATATATATACACCAATATATATGAATAAATATAGCATTTACAACTATTATATATGCATTTAAAATATTCAAAGTGATAACCAAAGGAAAACAACGTTGGTATCCAACAACAACATTCGTATAATTTAAATATAAACTCTACACCAAAAACAATATATGGCTACAACACCTAAATGAGTTAGGGCTTAGCTGTCACGTTTGGATTGATAAGTTATAAGAAAAAGAGAACGTAAGATGGAGGCCACGAACAAGTCGCAAGATAAGAAAAAATAAAGGTCAATTAATTGTTTATGAAAGCAAAAAATACTAACATAAGAGTATTGTTTAACCAAAAGTGTTTCTACGACTCTTTAATTCTAGTTTACAAAAGAAGAAATTAAGCTTAGCAGAGAGTAGATCTGAGTCAGACGATAATGTTGTTTTCGGACAATAAAAGTTAGGTTCCTTAAATTTTCTAATATTATCTCCACATGATCACACCAATACACACACAACACAACACTCCTTAATTATCGTATATATAAACATTTATTCTCCACTTATTTCTTCAAAATTAAGACAGGCTTTGTTCTCTGGACAAATCCTCAAAAAACATGAACATGGAAGATCAGTTTCCTAAAATAGAAACTAGCTTCATGCACGACAAGCTCTTGTCTTCTGGATTCTACGGGATCTTGAGTTCTTCAACGCCACCACAACTTCTCGGTGTTCCAATATTCTTGGAAGGTATGAAATCTCCTCTTCTTCCTTCTTCTTCGACTCCGAGCTACTTTGTGTCGCCTCATGATCATGAGCTCACTTCTTCTATTCATCAACCTCCGATAGCTTCTGTTCCTTGGAACTTTCTAGAATCTTTTCCTCAGTCTCAACGTCCTGATCACTTTCCTTCTAAACCTCCAAACCTTACTTTGTTCCTTAAAGAACCAAAGCTTCTAGAACTTTCTCAATCTGATAACAACATGAGCCCTTACCATAAATACATTCCAAACTCTCTTTATCAATCAGATCAAAATAGAAACGAGTGGGTAGAGATCAATAAAACCCTAACCAACTATCCCTCAAAAGGTTTCGGAAACTATTGGCTAAGTACCACCAAGACTCAGCCCATGAAATCAAAAACAAGAAAGGTTGTCCAGACGACAACACCAACAAAGCTGTATAGAGGAGTGAGACAAAGACACTGGGGCAAATGGGTCGCGGAGATTAGGCTTCCAAGGAACAGAACCCGTGTTTGGCTCGGTACTTTTGAAACCGCTGAGCAAGCAGCAATGGCTTACGACACAGCAGCTTATATCCTGCGTGGCGAATTCGCACACCTCAACTTTCCCGACCTAAAACATCAGCTCAAGTCCGGTTCCTTGCGATGCATGATCGCCTCGCTTTTGGAGTCCAAGATTCAACAGATATCCTCTTCCCAAGTAAGTAACTCTCCTTCTCCACCTCCTCCTCCAAAAGTGGGAATATCAGAGCCAAAGAATCATCACATGAAGATGGAGTCAGGAGAAGAAGTGATGATGAAGAAACAGAAAATTCATAAGGAAGTGATGGAAGGAGATGGTGTACAATTGAGTAGGATGCCTTCTTTGGATATGGATCTCATTTGGGATGCTCTCTCATTTCCTTATTCTTCTTGACTTTAAATTAATATGTCACAAGCTTAATTACTGCTTTCCTTTTTTTTATATAAAAATTCCAAAGAAAGATATTCATAATATGATGCCAAGATTCAAGATTGGTTTTCATTTGTTGTTAAACACATTGTGTTTTTTCTTACGACCACATAATCAAGTGGTTCTCCTTTTTTTGTCTGCTAATTAATTGTTCTTTTCTTTGCGGTTACTAGTAACCATAAAATAGAAAAAGTGTTTGTTGTTTAATGAGAAAAGATTATAATTCTGTTGCACCAACTCCAACTCAAAAGTCCAATGTATAGAATATTATAGAGATTATGAATATTAATAGGGCAGAGAAGCGTTAAAGGGCAAATATGGTTCGGAGTTCTGTTTTTTTCAGTCAACAACTACAATATGAGTTTTTACAAACAAAAAAATTGTATGTATAATATAACTTTAGGACAATTAGATATATAATTATGTTATTTTTATTTTTAATGGTATTTCAGAATATGCAAACAAAAGTGAAAAATCTAGGGGGGGTGTATTCGATTAAAGATTTAGGAGAATTTGGTGGAATTTAGGAAATTTTGGATTTGCAGAGATTTAAGTGAGTTTATAGGATACTTTTGGTGGAATTGTTATTTTTCATTTTAAAAAAGGAAAGATAATTTGTGATTTGATGAGCTTTTAAAGAGATAATATATAGGTGATTTGGTGAGATTTTTAGCACAAAAAATAGAAAAATTGAGATTTCCTAAAAAATTGCAGACGGTATAATCAATATCAATGAACCATTCAAAGGCTTAAAAGTAATTGGAATCACCATCAACAAGTAACATGTGCAACTAGCCAAGCTATAACAACAAGAAAACTTGCCTTGATAATTTTCTCTGGTTTGTGGTAACTTCTTAAACATGCCGTTTGAATTTCGAAAACATGTTTGACGGTGGTGGAATTCGTGATCAAGCTCAAAACAAAAACTTATGTCACTCCATCAACCTAGTTTCAAAAATCTAGTGTTATCAGCGACAAATCAAAGCTATACACAGCAGCAAAACGAGATTCACCTACATGCTTGACGACACATAAACTAACTCAAAATTCTATCTGAAATTTATCAATTTCGCAAATAAAGTTCTATTATGATATTAGCAAAGAAACAAACATACTGAAGATCAAAACCGACCTCGCAACAATTTGACTTCTAATCGTCGAATAGTTTTATTCATCAATTTAAATCTCCGTTTGTGCTCTTTGAGAATTAGATTGAAGCTGCTCGAGACTTGTGAGGACGAGAAGTGAGTCACCACCACTACCAAAGAAGAGACTCTCTTTTGACTTTAGTCCTTGTACATATTTCAAGGCAAATGGGGACTTTGATTTTAGGATCTCTTATATTATTTTTGTTCAAGGGATCGAGATCGATGGAGATGAAGACAAGGATGAAGACGAGGATGAAGAGAGGAGATTCTTTCACTAGTTTAGTTTCGTTAGCCACATGTTTTTTTTTACTTTTTTCTTTTTAATCAAATACCACCTCTAGAGGTGTGATTGTTTAATTCTTATTTTTACACTAAAAAGGTATCCAAAGTCTCACTAAATCAGTTTTCAATATTTTTTTAAAAAAGTTTTGTTAAGTTTGAATAACAGTGGATTTGATATGGGTTTTAGAAATTCATAATTGAATAACATGAGATTTGAAATGATTTGGAATGATTTTACATAAATTCCGGTTTTAATAACATGGAATTTGAGAAGAAAATTTTAAATCACTGATTGAATAACAAGTGATTTTAACAAAAAACCAAAAATTTCCAAAATCATTGTTCCAATACACCCCCCTAGGTGTTATTAGCACAGAAATAGCAAAAAAAGACAAGTATCACTTATTTGGAAAGATAAACTCTCATCTCCAAACGACGCCGTTTAGGGTACATGTGTGTGACAAAACACGATAAAAGAAACCTCATACTCTCCACTTCTCCAGCAAAAACCAACATTAGAGTTTTGGCAGAGATTGTTACAAACTACAATTGCTCATGTTTTCACTAGGTGTATGTTTCTGTCGTGTTATTCGAGTAAGTACATACCTTGCAGTTCAAGCACTATGCAGGTCAAGTGTCATAGACATCGCCTTGACCTACAAAAGTAACATTTGAACACATAAAAGATTCAGCCACTTGTTAAGCAAAAAAGCATGGAAGATTTAACTAGCAAGAACTGTGAATATACATTATTAGTAAGTCAAACAAAGAGAGCACTTTTGGCAATTTTCCGTCCCTCGAATCAAATCAAACAAAGATGAAACTCACCATTGTGGATGAAGGGCTAGAAGAGTCGAAAGGTCCGGATCTTCTGGCCTCCCAAAACCGGCTTGTTTTATCTCCACGACGCTGTATCTGCGATTTGCTCTGTTCTTTGGAAGAGAAACTGATCTTCTCTCTTCCCTTTTGCACAGCTCTTAACCGTCCTCTCAGCAACCCAACTTCACTCTCTATTTTCAGTCTTTCATAGTCAATAGCTGACATTGAATTTCTGCGCATATTGGGAGACATGTTACTTTTCCCAGGTGGAAGTACATAACTTGTATCTGAAACACTTTGTGATCTATCCAGTTTCAGATCGCTAATGGCATGGTCAAAAGGAACATTCAGTTGCGCTTTGTTATCTTCATCGGTCACTACATGGATATCATGTACATGGCCATCAATGTCGTGGGATTCCTCACCAAGATTCTTAGTAACAGTGATGTCGCTAGTTCTTGATACTAGTTCAGGAAATGAAGTGACACCCTCCTCTCTTTCTTTCAGTTCTACATCACTCAGTAGTTTGGCTTTCTCGTGATGGACATCAAATGGCTCACTTCTTGACTGACCACGCTCAGGACTTTGGTCTACTCCATTCTTGTTTTCGTCATCATTGTCAACCTCACTATAATCTCCAGGAAGCACTGATTTGTTTCCATGTGCAAGTAAACGACTGTCCATCTGATTAGTGAAGATCTCAAATCCAAAAGAGACATCCGCAGTCTCCATGTCATCCCATGATTCAGTAATTTGTTGTGGCGTTTGCAATCTTTCGATTCGAGCTGGTTTTGAATCTGGCGTATTGTGAGGTTGCTCAGTCTCAAGAAACATTTGCCTATAGGTATCAACTTCCTTCTCCAGAAAATGTTTCTCCCTCTCCCTCCTAAGCAAAATTTCTTTGAGAATACTCATCTCTTCCGCATCAAAAGCAGACTTTTCTTCTATCATCCGCTGATATTGCCTAGCTTCCATCTCTATCGACGCTTTCTCCTCTTGTAACCGCAATATCATACCCAAAGCCTCATCCGCAGCAGATGCAGCAGCATTTCTCTCTTTCTCGAGTTCAAGAGCTAATGAAGCACGAGCAGCTCGTTCTTCCGCAAGCACTTGTTCTAGAATCTCAATCGTCTTTTGTGTCATACCACTATAAGTTAAATCCACAGGGGAACTGCATGTACCCTCTCCCGCCCATGAAAATTTCCGTTCCGGTTGTTTGTTCTGAGCACCAGCTTCACACCCAACCGAACTTAGTGAAACACTTTTCCGCAAGGACACGTCCTCCAAGGTTGTTCCACTATCTACATTGTTATAATTTGTATCAAAATCAACATTCACTATCCAAAATGATTGAAAAAGTAATAACTTAACACCAGGAAACAAACACTTTGCTATAAGATACTAACCTTTCCACTTCACAAGAAGAGGATCATTTTCATTAACATCTTTCAAATATTCCATGACGCTCTCATTTGATCCCTCAGAGTTCTTATGGCCTAAACTACCTTGAAAATGGTTCTTGAAACCATACGGCGACCTATGGAAGCTGAGCCGCTTACTCTTAACTTTAAAGCTTCCTTTTTTCAAACTTTGCGCGGTTAAAAGATCAAAACCTGAAGCCTTCTCAATCTTTCCAACAGAAGGAGTACTAGATACCTCATCTTCCAACTCAACGCGCTTACGCTCTCCTTTCCTCTTCTTTCCAACACAACCACCATTAACTTCTTTACATAAAATCGAATCAAAAGGCGTTCTATTTCTCACAGATCTTTGAACAGAACTGATCTTTTTCACAGGAAGATTCCCTAAACTCTCTTGAAAACACTTATGTGGCTCACTGAATAAACCATCACAAGGACATGGGAGGGCTAAACCAAATAAACCGAGGAACTTCGATGTTACATAAACGAGAGAAGATGCGCAAAGCAGCGAAAACGCAACAGAAAGATCAACAAATGCAGCCACTAAACCTTTAAATGTCCATGATCTTACCTCCTGGCAACGCATTTTATATACCTGCAAGTAAACAAACAAATTATTATACAGTAAATTACTCAAAATTTGTGAAATTGGTTACAACCAAATTGTTATTTGAATCAATTAACAAGAATCATATGAATAATATCCAAAATCTAGACTAATTTGGTAAGTTAATCTATCAATCTTCTATGAATCCAAGTAACAATCAAAGGAGAAACTCACCGATGAATCAATCGTTACGCAGAGAAACTCCTTGAGATTAAATTCGTAAATTAGAGAATTAAAACTCACACAAAGAAGAAGAAGTTGAGAAATCAAGGGGAAGTATAACGTAAACGGCTCTTCCTCTACCGTTTTTTTTTTGGTTCAAAAATCAAAACCTTTCCTTTTTTTTTTTTTAATTTTCAATACTTCAGTTGCAAATCACCGTTCGAGTGAGCCGATACGCCGCCGTTTCGTCGCCGACCCCATCACCCTCTCTTGATATTTGTGTTTTTAATTTTTAGTTGAGGGGTTTTATTTACTAAAAACCCTTTTATTTATTATAACGTAATCAAATTTGTGTATTTACGCAAATGTGTGCCAACTAATTGATAGACAAGATCCATCCAATCTATAGCATGGAGATAAGTTATGATAATTTAATGAGTATTTTTGTAATCTACAATAACGAAAAAATCGATATAATTGGTTAAATTATCAAATTCAAAATTAGCAAAAATTTATCAAATTCATTAGGGTAAACATAACTTTTGAGTTTTGAATCCGGTAGGTTTTTCTTTTCATGTGTGGGATGATCTCTATCTGTATTACTATATAAACTAGGTCGACATCCGCGCTACGCTGCGGGACTTTTAGATATATTTTTTTTTCCGAAAAAGTTGTTTGAATCAAATGGTTT